CAAAATCCGTAAATATCTTACCCAAATTAATTTTCCTATCAGATTAATTTTTTTTTTAATAAATCATTTAATCGTAAAAGGTGAAATAAATTGTATGCATGGAAATGTATTCAACAAATGAAGTAGAACTTGTAGTTTTATATTATACATAATTTTGATTGTAAGAATTTGTCATTTAAATTACGAATCTGTTAATTCGTAATTTTTACATGCAATGAAATAATTTTACTTCCTGATATCATTACAAATTAAATTTTAAAATTAAGTCGTATCACCTGAAATTAACCTGAAAACTATCAAAATGAAATACTTTAAGGGTGGATGAATTCAATTTTTCCCTCACTTCCGCCAACTTATTTTCATTTTATGTTTAAAATCTGTATGAAATTATGATATGAAATAAGTTGTTTGTGTAATATTATCAGTGATAAAAATAGCATAAACAACAGTAGATGATGAGGAAGAATGAAGAAGGGAAAAAAAAAAGATGACAAGTTAGTTTACGTAGTATTATCAAAGACAATAATAACAAATAATACCAACAATAATAACAATAACAACAACAACAACAATAATAATAATAAAATAACAATAACAATAACAATGATGGTAATAATAGCACTAACAAAATACCAACAATAGATGTTGAGAAAGAATGATGAAAATAAAAGAATGCAAAAGTACAGAAGTTTATTTTTGTATTTTTTTAAGTTAACAAAAGTAAAAAGGAAAAGATCAAGGGAAAAAGATAAAAGGAAAATAAAGGATAGAAAAGACGAAAGGAAAAAGATTAAGATAAAAAGAAAAAGATCAAAGGGAAAGGACAGAAAAAAAGAAAAAGATCGAGAAGAGAAAATGAACAAATACATCAAAATTAGGTATTAAATAATTAACAAATAAGAAGTAATTTACATAAATGTTTAAAAATTATCAAAAAGTTTGTAAATTTTTTTCTTTCCTTTTTAAATTTTCCAAAATTTCCGAAAAAATTTTCTAAAAATAGTAATAAATGATTAAATGGCAAAGAAAAAAGGAAAAGAAAAATAAATAAATTAATTAAAATTTCTTTTTTTAAAGAATTTTTTGATTAATTTTAAACTATTTTATTCATGCGTATATTTTTTTTTAATGATTCATTCGTAATCTTAATTCTTTTTCCTCTTACTTTTTAAAAAATTAAAAAATTTCATTTTGATTTCAAAATGTTCCATTCATTTTGATCAAAATTTTCATTTCATTCGAAAATTTTTAAATTTAAATTTATTAGTGTTTTATGCTAATTATATATATGTAATTAGAAAGAATGGCAATAATTTGTAAATGATTATTTATTGTAGTAATTTTCCAATTTATTAAAATCGATATATATATACACGAATACACACAGATACACATACACACATACACACATACACACTCACATGCACATATACAAGCACATACACACACACATACGCGGACAGATACAGACACAGACAGACAAAAAGTTTTAAAACCCATTGGAGATTTAAATAGTTTCAAATTTCTCTTTGGTATTTACGTCACTTCTTCTACTTTGTTTTTTCTCTTCTGCCTGCTTGCTTCAATTTCAAATTCACTTTTATTCATTTCAATCCATTCATCGCCTGTGCATTTCACCCGTCTCATAGAAAATTTATACAAGTCAATTTACCTTTAAACATATATAGTGAGGAAAAAAAAATAGATTATTGATTAGCACTGATAAATTTTCTCTTTTTTCATTTGATAATACTTATATTTGAAATGAAATTTGATGCATTCGAATTGGTAATTTTATATGTTTAGATTATAATTTGAAATGCTTTTAATTCAATTTTTTATTTTTTTTTATCCTTTATTTCGCATTTTTAGTGATTTTATTTTGTTTTTTGATAATTTTTATACCATAGAATTTTTATCAATACTAATTTAGAATTAATTATTTGAAAAAAAAAAATATTTTTTAATCCTATAAAATTAGTTCGTTTTAATTTGTTCGAATTTTTACATTATGATTATTAAAAATGATTTAAGTGGAATATTTTGTTTGTTATCATTTTCGAAATTCAATCCTTTCAAATGATTTAAATTAAAATAAGGTTTGTTTTTTTGAAATATTTGTTAAGTTTTTTAATTAAATCTGCTATTTATAAAATATAATTCTAAAAATCGAATTATAATTCATGTTTTAGCATTTTTTTTACATTAGTTTTTCAAAATGCAAACTGAAACTTCTCATTTTGTCACGATGAAGAAGCATGCATTCCCTGATGAGAATATAAGTTATGTTAGCAATGACATATGGACTCCGGTAGTGTCGCCTATATCAGATAAGCCTTAAGTGAAGAATGAGAGAAAGTGTATTCATGAATAGGATAGGAACACTAACCTCCCAACATCCCAGAAGAAGGATAACTCTAATTTCAAACCCGATCAAATGAAGTTCATTTTAATCCAATAACATCATATATCAAATCAAAGGACACTATGAAAAAATCATGTCCTAAAGAGTGTTACACAGGATTGAATAATTTTCAAAAAAAAAAAAACATAATATTGTTTACGGATAGCAAATATTGATCAATCTTAAAACAATATAATAATGGTTTAAGATAGCAAATATTGATTAATTTTAAAAGGATATAATATTGCGTAGAATAGCAAAATATTAATTAATTTTGAAAGAATATAGTATTATTTAGGAATAAATTAATTTTAAAAGAGCATAATATTATTTAAGATAGCAATATTGATTTATTATTTTTAGCTGCCGTATAAAATGACATTTAAGTATTTCATTATTATCAATCTAAGACATTCTTTTATTTACAAAGAAAGAAAAGATAA